TTTGCATTGACATGCTAATTTTTGCCTGCAGCCCTTTGATAGGTGGAAAGCCCACCACCGCCACGGTCGCGGCCAACCACATGCATTGGCATTGGCTGCTGACATTTGGGCTATGCCCATTTCAAACCTTTATAAGCAGTTATCTTTAGAAGCTTACCCCCCTTTTCCTGATGACGACCACTTGTGTTGCGATTGAAACTTCTTAGTTTTTTTATTTTATTTGAACCTATCTACGTAACTTTACCGAAAGACCCAAAGAATATAAATTCCTGCAGTCACGAAAGCTTTAAGTCATGATGGTCAAGAATAAAGATGGATTGGCAGCCAAGGAATGCAACATGACCAAGAGGACATGAAATGGGGACATGGAGCAATGAAATCAGCTTGTGTGCAGGCGCTAGGCAGACTTGCGTCGCAGGAATGTGATGGCTTGGGGAGGCCTTCATTCAGCAGCGGAGTGATCATTGTTGATGATATTGATAAGGTACAAGAACTTGCAGTTGTAAAAGACCTTTATGCCAATTCAGAGTACCAGTGAAATATGCTGTAAGCTCCATCATATAATAAACAAATTCATGGCATTCTGACTGAGATACTTATCTTCCAAATAGAATGTTGGTACTTCCTTTATTTTTAAATGGGGTGCCTACTAACCTGGATGCAATTCATCACTAGGTCCAATGTGCCACCTTGCTGATGAGGAGTTCATAGTTCTCAAGGGGTATTTACATTTGCCACACAACTAACTCTAGCGTGCCCAGGTCTGATCAAGCCTAGAGGCATTAACATTTTCACACTTGCACACCCATTATAGACCTAACAGGGATGTATTTTTCTAGCACTGCACTCGCGTACTGAGCATAATAAGCAAGATTTAACCGCCTCTACGGGGAGGGTTTCCACACAACTATAAGATATTTTAACAAACATCGAGACAAGAAGGCTCATCTGATCGAGTCGCTCACATTTCTGAAGAGATGCCGTGACACCAAGGTAATACTAACCGCCTTTACATTGACATCTGCTGCTGTCACATCTCCTAATGCTAAACAGATCTTGTTCAGGGCAGACTTAGCCCTGATCTCAGAGAGAATAAGATTGCTCCGATTTTAACTAGATATTTTGGGCAAGACTCTCCTGAAATCACACTTAACATTGATGGAAAAAATGTCTACATCTGATTGGGAACATGTAGATAACATGACAGCCTCTTCAGCCGCCTCAATGTGAGGTTAATGCAAAGATAATCTGCTTTCCAAGTTCAACCTCCTTTCCAAGAAGAAGCCAGATCCACAAGTTAAAAAGTTAGACGTTGACAAGTTAGTTATGAATCAAAGTAACAGTCTAATTTCCGACAGCCTAAAATCAGTTCTAGCTAAAGGGTTGAATTTCGCAGTCACCCCTAAACACATCTCAGTGGATGATATCATTGCCCAGGTCGATGTAGCCCTTAAGGGTTTGGGACACATTACTGCAGACGTGGCAAGATCGGAAATCGCTGCAATCCTCAAAAACGCTAAGAGACCTATCAGCAACATCAGTAAGGATGAGCGCTTTGAGCTTTCTCAATTAAAAGAGATGACATCGTCATCCTCTCAGCTGACAAGGGCAATGCCACAGTCATCATTGACAAAACCACGTACAATAAAAAAAATTCAGGACCTACTTAATGATGGTAGCTATACAAACATTAAAAGAGATCCCACCAAACAACCTCGTTATGAAAACCAACAATACCATCACTGATTCGACATCTTTAATCGAACCAACCAAGTGGTTTTCCTTAAAACCCTCTGCTGCTAGACCTCCCAGATTGCATGGCTTACCAAAAATCCACAAAGGAACACCCCCTTCATCCTATCATCTCCACCACTGACTCACCCACCTACAAACTGGTCCGATTTCTGTCTGAGACCTTGCAACCATTCACTGGTAAGACCGCCTCAGCTGTACTTAACTCAGCTCACTTGGTATCGTTAATTAAGGACATCTCACTATCTCCAGGTGATTTGCTCGCTAGTTTTGATGTGGTCTCTTTGTTTACCAAAGATACTGTGCCGGAAAACATTGCAATCATTGAAGATTTGGTCCAACCAGGACTGAATGCTGATGTACTGGCTCTGGTGAGACACTGCCTCACCAACACTTCACCTGGAATGGAACATTGTAAAAACAAGTTGAAGGTATCCCAATGGGTTCTCCCTTATCTCGAGTTCTAGCCAATGTTTTCATGGAAAATTTTGAGACAGAAGCCATCCAGGCATCCACTCTACGTCCGTCCTTGTGGAAGAGGTACGTAGATGACACGTTCGTCATCTGGCCACATGGCTGACCAGCTCTGCATCAATTCATCAACCACATCAATTCCATACACCCAGCCATCAAATTCACCATGGAGGTTGAAAAGGATGGCAAGCTACCATTCTTGGATGTTTTAATCGAAAAGAGACCAGATGGCTCAATGGGCCACTGTCTACAGGAAAGTAACCCATACGGATGCCTACCTAAAACCTGACTCCCACCACCATCCATCCCAGAAGAATTCCCTCATCAAAACTCTACACCATAGAGCTCGATGTATTTCCGACCATCATCACCTAGCCAGTGAATTGGAACACGTACACCAAGCTCTCAAGACGAATGGATATTCAGACCACATAATCCGTAAAGCTATCACCCCAACTGTTGGGAAATAACCATCTGAGGACCCAATCAAAACCATCACCTTGTCATACATAGCAGGGGTCACCAAAAAGATTTCCAAAATCATAAGCAAACAAAAGATCCAGGTTCGATTTAACACAGTACATAAAAGTCGTGATATGATCCCATCTGTGAAGGATGTGATCCCTGACATGTAATACTACGGCGTCTACAGACTAAGCTGTGTCTGCGGCAGTAGTTACACATTGAGGAAACTAAGCGACATGTCTTGGACCGTGCTCGTGACCATAAGGCAGATCTGAAACACGGTAGGACCAATAACTCGGCCGTGGCTGATCATTGTTTTAATGCGATGGGCTCACACGAAATGGATTTCCCCAAGACGAAGGTGCTTTGCAAGTTGACTGGCTATCAACAAAGATTCGTTCATGAAGCCATCCGTATATACAGACACAATTTAAACCGAGACGACGGATTTAAACTCAGCAATCATTGGAAAGATGTCATCAACCACTTTGGGTCATTACTTGATTTGTGTTTTCTTGTCCACCTCCACCGTCAGCAGTGTGGGTATGTGGAGCGAGGTGCAATGCATTGATTGGTGTAGACCTACTGCCAGTGTCGGAGCCCTCTCCTACATTAACATTAGCTGCCCCGCCCATCTCTAAACCTTTATAAACAGCTCTTTGATTGGTGTAGACCTACTGCCGATGTCGGAGCCCTCTCCTACATTAACATTAGCTGCCCCGCCCATCTCTAAACCTTTACAAACAGCTCTCTGATTGGTGTAGACCTACTGCCGGTGTCGGAGCCCTCTCCTACATTAACAGCTGCCCCGCCCATCTCTAAACCTTTATAAACAGCTCTTTGATTGGTGTAGACGTACTGGCGGTGTCGGGGCCCTCTCTAACATTAACATTAGCTGCCCCGCCCATCTCTAAACCTTTATAAACAGCTTGCCCTCGGAGGCTAACCTCCCTGTTCCCGATGATGACCGCTTGTGTTATTGTTATTATTTTTCTATCTACGTGACTTTATCGAAAGAACCATAGAATATGAATTCCTGCAGTCACGAAAGTTTTAGGTACAAATCAGCAGTAATATGACAGCAAATGACCGACTACACAACAACATAATTTACATTTATATATCACATCATAAAAAACATATAAAATGAATGTTAATTCACATTTGAAAAAACTGAACTTTATTAAATTATCGTTAGAACAAATCACACCTCCCCCACCTACCCCCACCACCCTGTGAAATTAAACGAATAGTTGTGATTCGGGATCACAATTCGATTTAAGAACTTTTTTCTTTGTTTGTTTGTACATTTTGGCAAGTGTAGCAGGTTCGTGTAGTAACTGCAGCTGGTCACATGAACCCATAAAACGACATAAAAAAAAATCTCACATATGCAATTTGATGCATGTATCATGACCATAAGAATGGATTTTTTTAAATGAATTAATGCAGCATTACACTCCCGGTCTTTGTTATTTCTGTGAAACGAATGAGAAATAATCAATGGCTCAACACATTTCAGATGAACCCTGTTTTGGCCAAGTACTATTTTAGTGCCGTTTTGTTTTTGTGCGAAAGGAAAAATAAACTCTCAGAGAAAAACTCACATGCGTGGGTTGTTATGGCCGACTATAAAACATATTTTCAATAATAAGGCATCATCTTTCCTCCTTCAGATAGATATCGTAAACACTACCGAATCGATGTATGATCCACGAACCGTGCTAGCAAGTTACTGGATTATAGACATGCTATCTCACCTAGCAGATCATAACTTAACCGTAAGAAAATGGGGTTCTGGGAAAGGTGATATGTAGTATTGCAGCGTTGTGCTGCATAATTCTCCGATGTATTTTCAGGTTGGTACCTAGTGTTGTTTGGTGTGATGTCTGACGTTTCACTCAACATGCCGGGAGCTTCTTCAGGAACTAAATTGAGCAGTTCAGGTTTTCCTTCTAAAATACAGCATTGCTGGCTGCTGTTGTGCCCATTAGCGTGTGTACCCCCCCCCGCCCCCCCCCCAATCAGGCCACGTCGGGTTCATGGGCCTGGCGGATATTTGCATGCAATTGTTTTTTGTCACCCAACATTCTGCTGCGGGCCTTTGTTCATATGTACAGCAAAAATCTAATAGATATATTTTTTGTTAATAAAAGTGACCTCTCACCACATTGAAACATACGTCGAACATCATGGCAAAAAAATTAAGCGGTACAACCCCAAAACACACTGGAGAGCTAGTTCAGGCGAGGTATCCATTATCAGTTGATTCAAAGGTAGTTTTCTGTTTAAAAAGTTAAGAGACATACCCTTCGTCCAGCATATCTCCACGGATTATCCTTAAGTTCTTGAGGAAGGCAAGGGTAACAAGGGCTGAAGAGCGCTTGATCTTCACATAACCCGTCACCATCTCAATCAGTCCCAGGTTTGTCTCCAGCTCTGCTGCAATGTTGTCTGAGTGGGAAAGTAAAGTGAACAACATGTTGTTCAAGAACAGAAACCCGTGTAAAGGTGCTCCGAAATTGTGTGCATTCAACAACTAGCATACTATGCCTACACCTTAATGTAGCCAGCAAGACTGTCAGCGTGAAAGCATTTTTAACTCGACTTGTAACATGAACGATAATGGATGTCAGTAAAAAAACTAGGAATCATTGTGTAGATATGAAGTGAACTGATTTTAGCAAGAAGCCATCCATTTTCAACGTTAAACATCCTGTTTGCAATAATTAAATCTGTAAACAGAGCTAAGTTCTTACTGGCATCGCAAGCAACACAAAAATGACTGCGAGGACTTTACTAAGGCCGCAGGAAAATATGGGTAAGGACACGGAAGACCGGACACGCGTAACAAAACGGCTCTCCCCCCCCCCCCCCCCCCCGTGCACCATGAATATTATTGAAAGCCGTGAATTTATGTGAAACTTACTTCCACCGCGGATGTCGATAGTCAAGTTCCCATCAAGCTCGGTGCATCCGTACAGCTCCTGCGCCGCTGTGAGCGAGTTGATGTTGACGTTCCCATACTTGCACACTTTTGGACAGGGACCATCACATTTGGTGCAAGTCATGCTGAGGATAAAGAAGAAAAACACATAACTTAAAATAAGGTTTTGCACCTTTAAAAAGCTGGTTTTCGCCCTTCATCCCTGCACACGGCAGTACACTTTGCAATTCATACCTGCCAAGGCTTCACCCTCAAGAGGCTTCAAGCACACCTGCCTATCCTAGGCCCTGCCTAACCCCCCCCCCCCCCCCCCCCCCCCCCCATTAAGGCTGCCCCTGGGTCACACTGCCTCATCTAAAAAAATATATATTCTTCATCAGAAAGAAACGGGAAAACGCAGCCCAGGTAGACCAGGATCTTCAAACCTGGTCAGGTTAAAAAGTGAGGAAAGGAGGGTGAGGATCGCTATGTGCAAGAATGATAAACAGCCTTTACAGGTACAAAACGTTACTCTTCGTTCAATTCATCCTTGCAAAAGGCGTCACACACTTCGCAAAAATACCAAGAGCCAGAGGAGAGGAAGCCGGTTAAAACCATAACTGCGAGGACATGACTGCCTGACCAAAACGCAGCATCCTGTGAGACCAAGGTGTACAATCTCCAGTGCTTCACAAAGGGTGTGGGGGAGACTTCCACGAAGCCGCCTGACAAACAACAGCTGCCCGGGCCCAAGATGCGACCCACAGCCTGCATGAATTGCACTGTGTGCACTGTGTGCTAAAAATGTAGCACTTGCGTAATATACTCCCAGGGCCAACAAGAGATGCGCACCTTGGAGGCGGCCGGGGACCTTCTATTTCCCACAGACAATTTAGAAGAACTGCCGAGAGGACCAACGCGGCTAGGTCCTCGCCAGGGAAGAACTTTAGGGCCCTGGAGATGTCTAAGAAGTGCAAGGAAAGCTCTCAGCTCCAACCAAAAGCCCCCCTCCCACCAATAGTGTGAAGGCAAATGTGTATAGCCTGCTGCGTGGAAAAGATGGAAGCGGCCACCTTAGGCAAGAATTCTGGCCAGAGCCGTAACATCAATGAGTGCTGGTGAAAGGACAGGAAAGGCGTGCCCCACGGTGAAAGCCTGAAGCTCACTAGTCTGCCTGGTTGAAGTGATGGCCACCAAAAAAAAGAACCTTGACAATCAGTGCCAGTTCAGAGTTCTCACCCCCAAGCGATTCAGTGACTTAGACGAACGTATTTTTTACTTGTTGGAAGTGAAGTGTGAACCCTTGGGCTAAAATGTAAGCTCTTACTTTCTCGCCACTGTTTTTTTTTTGCTCCAGTATATATTATACTGAACGCTGTTGTGGTATAAACTAATGTCAGTGCAGAAACAAAAACGCAACCTTAAATCTATTTCTCTTGCGAATTATGGAGTTCCTAAGTTGAATCGCTGGATTTGAGTGCTGTGGACCAGGACAGTGAAAGGGAGAGGTCTCAAAAGCATTTGTCATGGCCATAATTCATAATCTAGCCATTGCTGCATGAAATCCTCCCCAAGCAATCACCGTCAATCACAGTCTCTAATGTAATTCCTATAGACAAGCCAATTTTCATTCCATCTCCACGATGGACATCCTCTCGTGTATGTTACCTTCCTTGGGCTCCCACTCCGTCGTTAGTCTCGGCCATTGTAACTTTCTAACCTGCCGTTAACTTTCTGACCCGCCCCAAATGGATATCTGTGAAAAAGAGAGCTTTACAGCTCATGGTATTCTTCCAGTATAAATAAAGATTCTGATTCTGATCATCCCTTGCAGCAATGTGTTCTGTCCAAGTCCACTTACTTTCCTTAACAGTCAACGTGACTTGTCTAACGCATGTTTTGTTCTCTTGATAAATGCGTTACACTTTCTATCTTTCAGACACATAATTGTGCATACTTTTTTTTGTTAATCTTTAAATAATTATGCTACGCTGCACTGGGGACAGAATACCAGTCAAATGAATAAATAACCATAGTGAGGTCCAGTACAGAGGTGGAAACAAACAAAATCACTTCCTTGCGTGATGTATTGCGGCAATGCTCTACTATGAGGTATGATGATAGGATGAGGAGTCCTTTATCCAGAAGTGGTCAGGCAATGGCTTATAATGCTGTAAAAAATTAAGGAGCACATTTTACATATAAGATACACATTATATATACACACACACACAACATTTTCGAATTAACACTGATCTCAACAAAAATAGAGTTGAAAAAGTGTGTTTTTTTGTGCTTCCTTGTTTGCAATAACAATGATAAAAGGTGTTTCCCACCAAGCTTGTTACCAAAGTCAACATCGCCAACATTTTTTTTTATATCTGACAATGCACTCATTGTGTGGAACGAGAACTGTCGGTTCCCATGGCAAGGAAGATCGTAGCCCCGCTCCCAATTGCCACACCCAAATGAAACCCGGTCTACTGTACAGGGTGGTCCAGATGTATTGTGACCCCCCCCCCCCAAAAAAAATAATTGACCTCTAACATTGTTTTCCTTTGCATATTCGCATCTGTTGTAAATAAACCTTATTTATTTTAAACGGTTGATACGATGATGTTCAATAAAGTTATTAAATGCCATTGTTATATTGCATTACACACCCACTGGTATGGAAACATATTTTTTTGAGAAATCAAAGGGGGGGGGGGCGTCACAAGACATCTGGACCATCCTGTACATTGAGATAATGGCAGAAAATGAAGTTAAAACTACGGGGTGATCCATTTATAGACACCTCACCGATTTATCATGGTTCTCCCAACTTTCAACTCAACACGCAACATGCAAACTATAGCTTAGAGAAGACGAGGAGAGTATTAACATATATTAGAAGCGTACTGAGATTCGTGGGAGCAATGTAGCGGCTTTGAAATAAAATGTTTCTTTCTTTACAATAATACCTGCATCTCCTTATTAATTTAACAGGGTAGCTATATAAGGATCACTTCCACAGATCAACATGTTCAGCGATTACACCGATACAATGGATTGGGGCCAAGTGCGGTTAAAAGAATGAGTCCAATGATGCATCGATTCATATCAGTTCATAAGACTCGTGATACATGCATATAAGTCGCGTGTGCAGGAATTCTCGTGTTTTACTGTTTTATACGAAATATACGCAAGCGATAATTGTAAGAATATCAACTTGTGTCACGCGCACAGCATTCGCTCACTCGTCGAAAATGACTCAGGTGTAAGGAACCACAGTCAAGGCAGCCACGCAATGAGCTGGTGCCAACAATTGCCAATGATCTGTGATCCTCTCTATATTAAGGTATTATCGGTCAATTAATGAGTGTATACGGAACACCAGGAGAAAACACATGCATGCGTGGGGCAAATACTGCATCCCATACAGTTTATGCAAAAGATTTCATGAAAAAATGTTGGTGATGAGACAAGAAAAATAGTAATAGCACAGGCAACATTTTAAAATTAGACAAAACATTATTCCATCAACTTGAGGCCCTGAATTACTGTTCGATCAAATCGCAAGGGAAGTTAACCGTTAAATCCCAAACAAGAAGTAGGGGTTCTCAACCGGGGGGGGGGGGTGGGGGTGGGGGGGGCATGCCCCCTTAAGGAGCTGAAATGAAGACAGGGGGGACAGTTCCACAGAAATAACACGAGGGTAGGCGGGGGCGTGGGTGCAAAAGAATAAAAAAGGGGTCTGTGGCTCAATGCTGCGTATGCACTGGCCGACCAATGTGTGACAGCATCCCCTCTCACTTTCCTCTCAACAGCCGACGAGTCGCTGTATTGACGGCAATATAAAAACAAGACTGTTCACTCCTGTTGGTCGTGGATTGCAGCCACTGATTCCTGCCCTCCACGCTCCCACAACGCCCCCCCCCCCTAAAAAAGGGGTCTAGTGAAAACTAAAAGGTTGAGAACCCCTGGTCCACAGATCAACACAAGAGTGTTATGTGTTGTCAGCATGGCACATCTCCAGACCATACAGGGCTTGGTGCTGTTCAAGCTGTTTATAGCAACAGCTGGATGCACTCACAAGTCAATATTAGAAGTATTTAGCTATTTTTAAAAGTAAAGAGGGTAGATGACTATCCCTTCAATTTATTTGGTGTCATACTCCGTGCTCACAAGCAATGTCATTATTTACCTGACGACAGATATTGTTTAACTGTTTATATATTTTGATTTAAAGCTTTCGTGACTGCAGGGATTCATATTCTTGGCTCTTTCGGTAAAGTCACGTAGAAGGGAAACAATCAAATAATAAAAATATAAAACAATAACATTCTCACGACGTTTCGACTGCAATCATCATCAGGTGTGAAAACCACAGCAAGAAAATTTGAAAAAAGTTATTTGTGTGGTTTTCACACCTGATGATGATTGCTTGTGTTGCAGTCGAAACGTCGTGAGAATTTTATTGTTTTATATTTATATTATTTTATTGTTTCCCTTCTACGTGACTTTACCGAAAGAACCAAGAATATGTTTTTATATATATAAAAAAGTACTCGTGATTATTTGCTTTTTTGTCAAGATAACAGTGGATGATGAAATGATTGCAGAAAAACGTTGAGTGCGCCTGAGCAAAATCAAGACTTTGTTCCATGATTGTACTGGGCACCGATTTGTAAGGGTAATATTATTTGCTGTTTGAACTAAGTATTGCACTTAAGATCATTTATATGGTAGCTTTTAAGATTCCAAGACAAATAATTGAATACATTATGTATGATTACAGAATTAAAACTAAAATATTAAATTACTTCACAATTCCCAAAAGTGTGCCAAACTGAAATAACAGGTAAAAAAATGGTATTTAATAAAACAGATAAGGTGTTGTCTTTTTTGTCAGTTGCAGTGAATAATTAACAAACGCCTAACCATTGAATCCAATAGTTTATATATAAATCACATTCAAAATAATCATCTGTAAAAAGTGTAAGCTAACCAGGGTGAAAAGACAGGAAACTGTATGACTGTATATGCAAGTTACACACCGAGTACGAAAGCTTCATTGTTTCGATTTAATTCCTGAAAGCATTACATTCCCCATGTTCGTAAAAAGTGTGCGGGCGCTTTAGAGTGCAAAAATCTGCGGGTGACGTGAATTGCTGCCGCACGGTCTCGTCAGACCACGGTAACAATGGCGATGTGTCTGTCAGACATGGCGATGGTAACAATAGCGATGTGTCTATCAGACACATCGCCATGGTAACAATGGCTTTGCTTGGAAAAGTTCACGGCACCAAGCCAACAAAGGAAGAAAACCGTCAGCCACGCCACCGCTTATCATTTTTGGCAATCACCTGGACAGAAAAATGCCCCCCCCATTTCCACTTTTGGCTTGGCCAAAAGAACAACATGCTTTAGCAGGCATTGGTCACATTTACACAGCTGTCGAGATGGCATATGTAACAAGTACGACCCTATTTTTTTGTAAACACATCCTGACATATTCGAAAACATTCTTTATTGCATCCACCAACACAAACCAGCTGTGTGATGAGCATTAAATGGAAAAAATTATGTTTGTTAACTTAAGGTTTTGCTAAAACGTAGGCCAAAATTACTTGTGAACCCCAGCTATGGCCTCAGATAAAGGAAGCCATATGGTTTTTGGGAACAAAAAAATGAATATCCAAGTCAGAAGATTTGTCAGATAGGTAAAGTTGCTCCTCACACTCATGATCATAGTTCTCCCTACTACCAGTGTCATCCAAGGTGGCAGTGATGTCCTCTGAATACTAATGCTTGGCGCATTCCTACATCTTGTGGTTTGGAATGTTGGGGTTGTTGCTGACTTCAGTAACATTTTTGTGGCCAAGTAGAGAAATACTTTTCAGAATGCTGTGCTTTTAAAATGCTTTAACTATGGCAGAGTTTATATCCTTTATTTGTGAACAACCATGTGGCAATTCGTCACATCATATTCACAGTGACCCCAAAAGTAGCAACCAATTCATTGTACAGTTCATCCAGTGTCTTAATGTAGAAGAGTCTTCTTCGGAATGGCAGTGTTTCAGGTCACTTTTGAAAATTAAATAAAAATCCCTGCACACTGTATACAGATTACCTCGTGAGCCAATAATTCATCCAGGTACATATTTGGATAAGATAAAATACAGTAGTCCTCAGAGCTTCTATTTGAATGTGCGTATCTAGGGAACAGCAGTGCAGTGCGGTTCAGACCCATTGACCCGAGTTAAATTTCAGGTTTAGAAAATAAGAGGTATCTGAACCTGCCCCTGGCCTCCACGAAGTTCATAGGTACCTGCTGCAGTGTGTAAACAACAGCACTGGGGAGACAAAGGGCAGCCAGGTTTGTGGTATTGGTCACCACCTTCTCAATGTCCAGCGTCGGCCTTAAAAGGTCCCCAATAGTCTGTAGGGCTATATAGGGTTAATGAATGGTCAAGAATAAAAACGGAGTGGCAGTCAAAGAATGGAACGTGTCTGAGAGCATGTTCACCTCAGAGATAGAGCGATGAAATCAGTTTGTGTGTAGGTGGTGGATGGATTGTTGCATTGCAGGATTGTGAGAGGTGGAGGCAGCTTTGGAAGGCCTTCATCCAAAAGTGGACCGATTATGGCTGATGATGATGCTGATTATGGTGAACAGCATCATGTCAATTCCTATTGGATGTTGGCCTCCCCAAAGACAAAGATCCCCCGTATAGCCTGTAACAAACTGTTGGGGCAAGTGCTGTTAGCGAGTAGCACCTATGACGTCAGACACAGCACACGAGGGAGTGAGTGGCCAGCACCATGCCCGACCGCGTTTGTCTCCCTAGTGACAATGTTTACACATTCTACCAGGTACTCATTTGAGGCCGAGCCGGCCGAGGGTAGGCCCAGGACCGGTTCAAATAATCACCACTGGTGTTGGCCCTGAGCGGGGACTCGAACTCGGGTCAGCAGGTTTGTAGCACAGCGCGCGAACCGCGACACTACCACTCCTCACGATGGGGCGTCCACACACCATATACTACAAGCAAGAAAGACCATCCATCAAGCTGGCAAGTGCGAGCTGGTGAACCAGTGGGAGGTGGGGGGCATTCAGGACCAGTTCAGATATCACTCACCACCGGTGTTACTCGTGGCCAGATATCGAACTCGGGTCACTAGATTTACATGTGTGCTAACCACTGCACCAGGGCACCACTCCTAAGTGATGCTCTATATTTACGAACTAAAGAGGTCGCACAAAACAGTGATCTGCGAGCCACCGCGCCTGTTATCATTACCTGGTGACATTGCGAATGTAGCCAGAAGGACAGTCTGGCAGGCAGTCTCCGTGATGCAGGACGTTCTGCGTGGAGTAGTCGTAGGGCGCTTGGCAGAATTCCGCCGTGACGCAGCGCCAGCCATCGTAGCGATAGGTGCCCAGTGGGCAATCCAGAACACAGATGCCCTTGTGCCAGTAGTGGCGACACGCCAGGCAGTGATGTTCACTGCCCGCTTGGTGGCAGCCACCTAAGCACTCTTCGTGGCAGCACTGGCCCGATTTGGTGCACGCCCGCCGACCACATTCCGGTGGGCACACTGCAAGAGCATACGGAAAACAAAAAATTAGCAACAAGTGCATGTCTTGTAACGTTTAAAAAAGACAGGTCATAAGGGCTCAATTCGTGCTAAATGTGAATGTAAAGACAACTTTTCTCGCAAAAATGCTCTTGAATGATAATAAGGAATAATTTATGTTTGGCATGTAAGCATTCAAATGATTGCAGTATCGCTGCTGGCACATAAAATGTGTTATTAAATTAGTCTTATTTAATGGCAACTGTATTCATGGAAGTTTATTATTTCATGTGATACGAGCCGTTATTTTCCCTTCTTATGCAATCTAACCATATAGCGTCATACACACAGACCTATAAACGTTGAAAAAATAGCATCAGAATGCAAAGTCAATGACTTTGCTCATGTCAGATGATTCACGAACAAATGCATAATTATATTGTTACGATATTATTATTTTTGCAGGAACAACTTTGTAAAGTGGGAAAAATCTACGTCATATCACAAGATGTTTCCATTTTACAACAGATAAAACATTTCACGTAAAGCCCAGGATTGCTTCCAAACTTAAATATGAATGTCAGCCTCCATTGTTTTGTGTGATCACAATTAATCAAGCGCAAGACATACAAACCATAGAGTAAACAATACAAGACTTCCAATAAACAGTTCCCTCTCCCATACAACCACACATGGACACCGACACAAAGGGCAATACTTGAGCCAACAGACTTCCACACTGAGACAGCCCAGAACTCCATATCGTGTCATCATGAAAGCAACCGGATGGAAAAACGGTGAATGATTTTAAAAGTTCAGATGTTCCGCAAAGGCTGAGAAAAGGCGTCATACTGACAAGAACCACTGTGGTGAAAATTTAATTTTTTGCACACACAATAACCATTAGAACAAAGTACAAGGGCACTATCTATCTTCCATAGCTTTTTCAGTTTTTTTTTACAGTATTCATTGCTTTGTGGAGAAAATTGGTGAACAGGGTTAAATATTACATCTTAATTCAACAAGCGACTTGTGAGAAACAATTAGATTATACAAATGTATGCGATTGCTAACAGCTCGAAGAGAAATAAGAGCTCTGTCAAAGCAACCAGTCAAATATATTAATCGATTAAGTGTGGTTACACTTATCATGAAGTTCACCAGGACATCCTTGCACGGACGTCATGTTTCAATGAAACAAAAGACACTTGTAATCCGAGCTTTGTTTGCGTCCGTGGAGCCTATTTTTTTCTTCCCGAGCGTCATTCAAGCCAGTTGCATTGCCATTCATACCGCTGAAAAACTGAGACTTCTGGGAAGAACAGCTTTACCAGCTTGCAAAACAACCAAGAAAACCACATTTCTGCATGACCGCATGTCAAGCAGACAACTTTCAAAGCAAGTTTAAGAATGTTCCATGCTGTGACTCGCACTGTGTCTAATGGAAAAAAATATTTAAGAGCTACTCTATAAATAATAAAATGTCGATATATGTAGTGGGTTAATTTAAAGGAAGAATAACATTTGCAGCTGCAACTATTAAGTTGTGAAATGTTATTTTTCACGTGCTTTACAGCTAAATTGTGTGCTTTTAAATCACACTTAATCGTAAAAAGACACATTTATTCATTAGTTCTTGACGTATTTGTTCATTCATAAGTTTGTCCACTTTCCAATACAAGACCTTCTGTTGCGATATACAATATAAGAAGACCTGGGTCCTCTTGTGAAAGTAGAAAATCATTAATTGCAACCTTCCTGTCAGTCCACTGCTGGATGAAGGCCTCCTAACGCTGTCGGCCGTAGGGGTTGTTTAGCCATGCTTCACCGCGCAATCCAACGCGAGTTGGTGAAGCCAGGGGTTGTGTGGAGAGGGGGGCAGCACCTAGTTGAGATATCATTTGCCACTGCCGACCGCTATGCAGCATCATACCGGCAAAAACACATTTCCCCAATGAATAACAAAAACACAAAACCCCCCCCCACCCCCCTTGCAAATTACAGTGAGTGACACAGTTAGTGCAGCAAACTGGATGGAACCAGTGTGGCCTGGGAGGTTAGAGACAAATGGCCCCATTCATGGGGGAGAGAGGAAGAGTCTGGCTTGCAGTCAATGAGCACACAAACTTTGTGGGGGGGGGGGCACTTTCCTAGCCCTGACGTCATCCCGTGGAGCCATGTCACAGCAGGCAGACGGGGGGGACCCAAATTTGACACACCAACATTTAGGCACGAAGAGGTGGAAAGAGATTTTAAGCGAAGAGACGTAGAGACCGTACGCACGTGCCATGTAACCAACTGTTATGGGAGGTGGGTAGAGAGGGAGGGGGGGGCGGGGCGGTGATAGCCAAAAATTACTCACATTAGAGATCACAGACAGTGTACTATGTCGCCGTAAATGCGTGATATGCGTTACGCTTCAATGAGATTGATATTCGAACGCCAAAAACTGGCCACCCCCCAACAATTAACCTCGCTTTCTCCTGTAACTCAAGTCGTCTGCGCTTAACAAACGGCAATAACCTCGACCGCGATGTAATTCACCGAAGGCCAATCAGCTGTAGCATTGACATTTACTTTCGTCCCTGCTGACGGCAGAATGCAAAGTTCAAGTTCGCGGAGAGAAAGAAAAAGTTCATGTTCACAGAATCACCAATGTTTTAGCACTGCTTTATAACGCAGTGCTAAAACAGAATTAAATATCGTGTAAAGTGTATCATAAACTATGAGAGACTGCAACAACGAAGTGGAAGTGTTGTTTTTATGACGATCGCCATAATAATTCTAACAATGACTGATCTATTCATTATTCGCCTCTGTGGTTCCCTACGAAGCTCGCCCAACTGAGCGATAGGGATCCATTGCTTATGGGAGTATTTCCACAACAAGACGCCAGGGACTGCGCTCCGGATCACAATGTCAAAGCTTTCAAACTTCAGCCGGTATCCACGTCCCCTGCCCTCAACCTCACACTGCCCGGTCTGCTAAGGTATGGTCAAATAACTGCTATGACCTGCATGGCATGGAGAGGGCTCCTTTGTGCAGCAGTGACTTGCTAAAAGGCCGTGTTATAGAGTGGCCCAAGTGAACTTACTGAAATAGGCACACGTTTGTTTCCTTGGGTAAACTAACCGTTGGGTCAACCCTGTATATGCAGATATAGAGGCACATCACAACATCACAAAGTACACAACTATGGCGCATGAAGTCATCGAGTTATATGTGACTGAACGTAGTGCATTAGTTTTCCTGCGTAGGTTCTCAGTGTTGCTGTAAAGTTCTAAACATCGGATATTATGCCGAACGGATAAAGCGGTACCAACCCAAAAACCCACCGGAGCGCGAGTACATTGTCCACTTCGTATGAAAGCAATGCATGTGATTTCGAGTTCACGTAGCTTCTGATTAATATTAATCCGAATAAAAGTACAGGACATAAAGAGTGTTCATCGATTGTACTCATGGCTGTATTGTGTAAGTGGCTGCTTGTCCAAGTTGGGGTTTTTGTAAATGTTCACAAAAATAAACACTTTAAAATGCTGTATTAACTTTTTTTGGCAAACTACAGTAGTCATATTGGGAACATTATACGCCTAACCACAACACCCAGGAGAAGTGGCAAAGGACAACCTAATTATGTTCAACATTTACATTACACTGCATATACAATGAACATTTTAACACGTAGTCTTTCGCGACCAATATTATAAAAAAAAATGTTGCAATTTTTAGTTGTTTTTGTTGAATGACTATTGCTTTTTGTCCACGGCGTTATTAACATGACATCTTAAAACGAAATATGGAAAGAAATAAACACTTTGGCGACAAGGAAAATTTTACAAAATGTAAAATGTATTGAATCACATTTTAGTATCACTGATAACTGAAAAAAGATGCCTACCACTCGTAGTGGATGTATATTAGGTGGGTAAATATTTAGTTCATTATATGGTAAGGATTCATGGACCATGGCAGCATGAACACCACTAGAAGCTTTGTCACTTGATAATGTGGGACAAATTTTAACAATCTTCAATCCTCCCCCCTCTTTACACAAATAACAGTTCAACGAAGCAATATATGAACCTTATGGCAGTACCCCGGGGTACCATAGTACCGCGGCTCTCGCATAATGTCCGTGATGCAGTCATTTTTAGTCTGTTGATGGTCGGCGATGCGGCAATGGACTCATCTCGACGAGCTGTACACGATGTACTACGGTGCGTACTGCGAGCGTTCAGGGGTTCAGCGCAGTCGTCCTCGCTGCGTTTCGACATCGCGGAGTAGCACTGATTTCGGATTGATTGGTACCCCCAGTCGCGGAGTTAAGTACACCCCTGGAAAAAATAGTGTCCCAGAAATAAAATATTTCATTGCCTCGGCCAGTTTGTATTATTTGGTGCCCCGGGGTACCGCCATAAGGATCATATAAAAGAAAATACATTTCAACAATTATGAATACGCATGTGCAGCACGTTTTTTTTTCAATCTACTGCTGGATGAGGGCGTTCTTACACCGTGTGGACCACGGGGATTAAATGTCCATACTTCACCACGCTAGTCTATGTGGTTTGAAGAGAGAACAGATACTGCAGCATAGAAATACAGTATGTACAGTACCTATTTAGCTGCAGTGCGATATGCTGCCACCGTGAAGCCCCCTACATCAATGAGAGTGAAGTAGGTTGATGTATTTTCAATTCGTGTTATGACCTACTGTATGCATACCTGCCAACTCCTCATAAGTGCCCACCCTATTACAGACCAATTCAGACCTTATTGGTCATCCCGTGAACCTTATAAATATCAACGTTCATCCTATACAGTCCCATCACAAGGGAGAAACACGAACAGACAAAAAAAATGGGTTTGCCCGTATTGAAACGGATGTACGGCGTGTGGATGTGAAAACTCAATTCCCTGTACAAGAATACAGGATAAACCGTATGGGTTGACATGTGTATTTAAATAGTTCACGTGACATCTGCAGACGCTAGAGGCGCTAGATCTACCTCAATGTA